CGTTGATCTTAATTGTCTTCAGTGACGTACGTTAATGAGGAATCTGAAGTGATTATCTGTTTTACGTCGTTTTGTAGTGAAAATATGCTCAACTTAATTCATCGCGCGAAGTAATATGGTGGTTGGAGGTAGTCAACATAATATAAAACCTAAACCTAAGTTTCAGGCTCGTCAGCAAGGTGTACTTGTAATTTTAAGGGAACTGGTACTCTCTGGAGACCTTGTGTCGCAAAGCTTTACAGTTAGAGACATCGCCATTGGGTTTTTCAGTCTGTAACTAACCGAGACTTGCCTGACTCAGTCACTGCTCTCCGTTTCTTGTAGGTTTTCAATGGTTGTCTGACTTAAATCGGTTCAGGATTATTATAAATAAACAGTTGACTCATATTGAAGATGATCATATCACTGGTTCTCAACCCCTATAATATTCTCATCTTTGACCTAACGAAGGATATAGTACACAGTTCTTGTGACATATAGTCAATATATTATAATTAAAACATTAAATCGTAATGCAATAGTTCCATTTATCCGATATTAGTTATTCACTGTCATTTGTCGACCATCTACTCTCGTGATTCATTATCTGTGAGTTAAAGATGATCAATAATGAACAACATTTATGCAATTTAAAATCATAGTTCATTTCTCCTTTTAGTTTACAACAATTCTTTTTCTGATTTGAGTTAATTCTGACTTTACAAAATATCCCTTGTCTTATGATGAAACTTATAGACCCAACAAATATTTTTGGTTTCCCAAGCTGAAAAAAGGTATACAATATTCACTTGTTCTCACTGACCCTGCGCCTGTTTTATGTTTATAATACCATCTTAAAGTGTGATTATACTATTTGTGTTTACATGCAATGCATTAAACTCTCCAGCCAAAGTTAAAAAAACGATAACATTTAAATCCCATTTACGAGTAATCAAAAAAATCTTTGAGCACTCTGTTAGAGATAATATCAAACAAGGCATTAGTGATAAAAAAAATAACTGATATTTGATTGTCCTTAGCAGATAAAATTCATAATATTCAATTTGTCTTGTTGCCTAGGGAAACTGACAATTCAACTAAACAAAATCTATCACTGTGAAATAATTCTGTAATGGAAATAAATTCACCAGATAGATTGAATTTTAAAATAGACTGATCATTTGGATCTGCCTACGTGATTTAAAGGTATTGTACAAGTCGTTACACTTGAAAAAGGTATCTGCCTTCATTTCTCAGGAACTATAGTAATTACGAATAGTTTAAGAATCTCAAATTAAGACTAAACAGCCTCTCTTACTAAGTATTTGTTTCTAATAAGTCTCCAGTTAACTTCGATGAGTTTCGTAAATTACATTCAAAGTCTACAAATGTATCCAATACGTTACTTCATTTAATAACAAGTCTATTAAACTTCTTTTTAAATCTATCAAAATGTGTGTCATTCAATGCGGAAAGTTTTGCAGTGACTTGGTTATTCTGTTGATTGGTGAACTATAGACAATCTATGTGTGTTGTATTGATCTAAACATTTTTTATTTTTATCAAGTCAAAAATGAAATAATTGTTGTCTCTGTTTATATTATACCTTGATAGCATATTACCGTAGAAAAAAAATTCAAAACAAGTTTTGTGGGACATAAATTCAGACTACCATAACACTAATTGTTTTGTTTTTTCGCACCAGATATACACTAAGTGAGCGATTGGCAGACATTCACATACACACACATATGTGCACATAGATGAAGTCAAATATTCAGTGAAAGTGAAGCAAAACCTTCAGAGTATACACACTTAGAGTATACTAAAGCCTATATGTATTGCCTTAGTACCGTTATGTGTACATGTAATTTTTAAAAATCGATGTAAACTAAAGAAAAATCAACTGAATGGGAGGTGAAAATTTAGTGAGAGATACAAGCAAATAGGTATTAGCAATGCAACAAAAGTAACATTTGTCAATCAGACAGAAATGTGCAGTAATTTTGCAATAAACAAAGATTATCTGTATAATTTTTTTCCTCAATTTTAGTTTGCAATAGGATGATGCTCTCGGTCTTGAAAGTATATTAGTTATTGATGATTAGGTCAGTTCAAGACTGTATAAAGCGATTAAAATATTTTCTGAAATCTGTTGACGAATTCTGATCTAAACCATTGGGTCATTATTTTAGTACTTCTTTCTTCGAGTTTCAAATTTTAATTGATAACTAGAGACGATAGATTAGTGATTCAAGCACCCAATATATAACTATTAGGTTGAATATTCGAATTCGGGTAAATCATCTTCGGTTTAGACAACCGTTTAGCTTCTATGAATAATCTGTTTGCATGAAACTTATCACCGAAAACCGGATGCATTTTTGTCTAATAATCGACATTTACTCTTTAAAATGTAAATAAGTTAGTTAATGCAACTTAAAAATGAACATGATGAGAAGATTTGTGTTAGCATTGGTATATTAAATTTTTTCTAACTGAATATATCTGATATGGTCACAGTTTTATCTCAAACGTTTTGAAATATCCCAAATCGAATGAATGCTTCTTAGTTTCTGACAGTTCACAAAAATTAAACTATTCTAAATGAGGAAATATTATGGTTTACTTTTAAAAATGTATAATACAAGGACAATAAGTGTTAAGTCCGAACCGGATTTCAACTACTTCAGTTTGGGCAGCCGGGTAGTATTATTAGGCTTCACACGCACTACGTAACTCATATCCAAATATGTAAAGTGTGAATTATTATAATTATTATTCAAAACAATTAGTCCCTTTTATAAATTTTGATAGAACAGTGAGAAGATCTATTACGTCTTAACTTACTTTACAGAATTATTTTTATTATCAGTTTATGGACCTATATGAATTCTATGTGGTGACTAATTTTAATTTTTAAAACATTCCTGGGCATTCACCTATATTACTTACGACTACCACCCCTCGTGGAACATAGGCCTGAATTGTCTAATTGCGTTCAAGTTGTCCACTGTATTTCGTGCTTCCCATGAGATGTCAAGGTCCTCACAATTGAGTTAGCTACCAGAAGAAGAAGAAAGGGTGAGAGTAAGCAGCGTGATCTGACACCGGTCCTTACTGGAAACGAATCTGTGAGCTGCTTTCCAAGTACATTTTTACAGTGTAGTCCATTGTCAGTGTTCCGTATGGTGGTAAAAGTCATCTCAGGTACACCATTGGGTTAAAGAAGTTTCCAGAAGTTTTTCCTATCCACTCTGTCGAATATTTTCTAATATTCAATGAAGTTGATATATCCTGATGAGTTCCACTTAATTAATATTTCAACAATGATCCATCGTCGCTTGATCCAGTTGATTGATCTTTATGGAATCCAGCTTGTCGGTCTAGGAGATGGTCGTTTACTGAATCTTTCACAACACTATGTAGAAAACATTTCCTGATACTGATAATAGTTTCATGCTTCTGTAGTTGGAGTACAAAATAGGATCTCTCTTTGGTATCTTGATGAGGTATCCCTTATTCCAATCTGTTGGGGCTTGTTTTCAACTTTCGAATCTTCCTGAAGAGAATGTGGAACGTTTTTGCAGTTACCTCTCAGAACTTCAATTGGTATTATGTCGGAACCTGCTGCATTCCTACTCTTGATCTGTTTAATGAGCTTGCTGATTTATTCTGTTGCTGGGGGGGGGTGCAAAATCAATAGGAATGTCTGTGTGTGCTACTTGGATATCTAGTAGGTTCATCGGAACTGGTCTTTTCAAGAGCTCTTCAAAGTGTTTTGCCCATCTCTTCCGATACTCTTGAGTCTCACTGGTTGGTTTGTCTTCCTTGTTCTTGAACGGTTACTCTAGTTTATAATTCTTGTCTACTGACTTCGTCGTTGCATCATAAAGTGCTGTTTTCTCCCACTGTAATTGCTAGGCTTTCCACATATTTCCGTTAATAAGTTATAATCTTCCTATTTACTTGTCTGTTTGCACCTGTATATTCGACCTGTGTCTTGACTTCCTCTGCTCTTGTTCGCGTGCTATTGGTTGGAGTCTTCATATTTTTCCCAGTATACCAGTAGAGATCCACTGTTTATCCTGGTGCAGCTGAGGGTCAGCATCTTGTAGCATTTTTAAAGTAACTACTTCTTTAATCTCTCCCAGTTATTCTCCACGGTAGTTTCCTTCTCTCTGAGTAGATCTTGTAAATTTTAGAAGCAACTGCTGAGAACTAGCTTGAACTTGCTGATTTTGTCAGTATCTTGACGGAAGAATGCTCTAAACTTTTGTAATGGTGTTTGGCCTGTTGTAATTGCTTCTTTAGCTTCAGCTTCAACGTGGTCAACCTAAAGTCATTCACCTGGTTTAAATACATTTATTTCAATGCGATGATATATCATCCAGTTAGTTTTATTGTAGAATACACCTTTAGTCTTTTGATATATAATTTATGTAATGCTATCAGACTATATCTATATATGTTTTTTAATGACAAACAGAATGATAACCGACCTTTAAACGTTGTTTGACCTAGT